GCGCACGGGCTGCTGGCCCCACCCCTGGGGACTATAGAATAGTCGAGTAACCGCTAAGAATTCAGGAGGTTAATCGACTATTCAATTAACCGATATTTCACGTCCCTACAGGGGACTACATGTCCCAGCATAGAGTACCAAGCCGCTTAGCGCAATACGACGAAGGCTGGGGCTTTTAGCCATCACACGCCCGCAATCGAGGTCAGGGCCTGCTGGCCCCACCCCTGGGGACTATAGAATAGTCGAGTAACCGCTAAGAATTCAGGAGGTTAATCGACTATTCAATTAACCGATATTTCACGTCCCTACAGGGGACTACATGTCCCAGCATAGAGTACCAAGCCGCTTAGCGCAATACGACGAAGGCTGGGGCTTTTAGCCATCACACGCCCGCAATCGAGGTCAGGGCGTGTACAGGTTGACTCTCTCTAGCCTGGCACACTCTGGTCCAGAAACATCCGTGGCCCGGCATGATTTGAGTGAGCTGGACGTCCACTTTTCATGGGGGTGGCCAAGTTTTCCACAGTCCCATAAAGTTTGTTTACAGCCGCCAGGCCTGGCTCCCAGTGCTCTGTGCTGTGATTTAGCTCGGATGTGCCCCTCCATGTCTTCTCAGAGCCCAGCAGGCCATGGCAGCGTGGGTAATGCTGCTAGACGATACTGGCCTCCCCTGGTTCAGAATCGGTCAGGTCCTGAGGGTGCCGGACTAGAGAGGTTCAACCTATAGTTGACACTGGACAGTTCCACCCCTGCCCCTGGCCTGGTGGCTACACTCCGGGCTTCCCCTTTTTTAGGACGTACCACGATATTGTTTGGGTCCAGAGACTCCACTGCATCCAGGAACCGGAACTGCACTTGCTGGTACTCTCGATGGTGCTCAAATGTGAAGTGCTGGACCCCTCTTCTGGTCTCCAGCAGCTTCATGGCCAAGCCTAAGGGAGCACATGAACCGCTGAGCCACAGTCCTCAAGAAGACAGAGGCAGCTGCTGCCAGCCACCAAGATGAGCTCTTCCCGCTGCCCCGCAAAGCTGGTAGCACTGGGGCGAAGGAAGGCCGGTCACATCAAGGGACCACAACGTGCCTGAGCTACATCCAAGTTCTTTCCACCCACCCCTCCCAAAAAATGCCAGCAGCCGGCCCTCCGGCCAAGCCTCTGATCTGCCTGCATGGCCACCCAAGGGAAGAAACATTCCAGGAAGGAAACAAACCTAACTTAGGACCTTGTGGAGGAGGAGAAATGTTCTGAAAATGTTCTGCAATTCAGCATGACACTTGACAGCCCTGGAGGCCTCCGGGCAGTGGAGTAAGGAGGGGGAATCCCAGAGCTAGTGGACAAACTGCTACTCTCTCAGCAGAAGCGAGTTTGGCCGCGGGGGCTGGTCAGACGGGCTGCATTCTCCGCACACTAACCAGGCTCCAGCGAGAGCCGGCTGGCGGGATCAGGAAGCGGAGGCACGTTCCAAACAAGAGACCGACTCTCAGCGCTCCCGGGGGCCAGGCCGAGCCTGGCAGCTCACCCGAGAGCGGGGCAGGACTCGCCTGTTTTGCTGTAGCGTGGCCAGCTGATCTTGGGGATGGTGAGCCACGTGCTGCGGACGTACTGACGCTGCCTCTGCCGGGGCCTGCGGGAACCAAAGACGGCACCTTAGCCCCTCTCTACTGGCCGTGTGCTATGGAGCTAGGCCCAGGATGGGAAACGGAGGGAGATCTCTGGGGCTTGGATTTGGGACAAACAGACCCAGCGTCTCCGCTGCCTGCAGCACTAAGAAATGAATCCAACCCCCCCGGGTCTGCCCTTGCCCGGGGCGGCTCTGCTGTAGCTTTCTCAAGGTTACCAGTTGGAGGGGTCCCTTCCAGGCTCCATCTGCCCGCACTTCAGTGTTCACCCCAGCGTGGCCTGGCAGCCTCTCCGCTCCACAGGCTCCCAGCTCCAGCTCCCCCTTTGCCACATTCTCTCCTGCCCCAGGCCTTGGCACAGCTGCCCAGCGGGATGGAGGCCGGGTGCAGAAGGGAGCTCGGGGTCAGGGATGGAGGCCGGGTGCAGAAGGGAGCTCGGGGTCAGGGATGGAGGCCGGGTGCAGAAGGGAGCTCGGGGTCAGGGATGGAGGCCGGGTGCAGAAGGGAGCTCGGGGTCAGGGATGGAGGCCGGGTGCAGAAGGGAGCTCGGGGTCAGGGATGGAGGCCGGGTGCAGAAGGGAGCTTGGGGTAAGATACTGGGGTGCAGGAGGGAGACCGGCGTCTGGGAGGGAGTTGGGATGAAGCAGGCGGCTGTGACCTAGGGCAGGGGACTGGAGTGCAGGGGTTTGGGATGTGACCTAGGGTCGGAGGGGACTGATCTGGGGCAGGAGATTGGGGTGCCCGGCCTGGGAGGGGGTGTGGGTGTAAGAGGGGGACAGAGGGCTTGGGTCTGTTGAGTGGGAGCTCGGGGTCAGGGATGGAGGCCGGGTGCAGAAGGGAGCTCGGGGTCAGGGATGGAGGCCGGGTGCAGAAGGGAGCTCGGGGTCAGGGATGGAGGCCGGGTGCAGAAGGGAGCTCGGGGTCAGGGATGGAGGCCGGGTGCAGAAGGGAGCTCGGGGTCAGGGATGGAGGCCGGGTGCAGAAGGGAGCTCGGGGTCAGGGATGGAGGCCGGGTGCAGAAGGGAGCTCGGGGTCAGGGATGGAGGCCGGGTGCAGAAGGGAGCTCGGGGTCAGGGATGGAGGCCGGGTGCAGAAGGGAGCTCGGGGTCAGGGATGGAGGCCGGGTGCAGAAGGGAGCTCGGGGTCAGGGATGGAGGCCGGGTGCAGAAGGGAGCTCGGGGTCAGGGATGGAGGCCGGGTGCAGAAGGGAGCTCGGGGTCAGGGATGGAGGCCGGGTGCAGAAGGGAGCTCGGGGTCAGGGATGGAGGCCGGGTGCAGAAGGGAGCTCGGGGTCAGGGATGGAGGCCGGGTGCAGAAGGGAGCTCGGGGTCAGGGATGGAGGCCGGGTGCAGAAGGGAGCTCGGGGTCAGGGATGGAGGCCGGGTGCAGAAGGGAGCTCGGGGTCAGGGATGGAGGCCGGGTGCAGAAGGGAGCTCGGGGTCAGGGATGGAGGCCGGGTGCAGAAGGGAGCTCGGGGTCAGGGATGGAGGCCGGGTGCAGAAGGGAGCTCGGGGTCAGGGATGGAGGCCGGGTGCAGAAGGGAGCTCGGGGTCAGGGATGGAGGCCGGGTGCAGAAGGGAGCTCGGGGTCAGGGATGGAGGCCGGGTGCAGAAGGGAGCTCGGGGTCAGGGATGGAGGCCGGGTGCAGAAGGGAGCTCGGGGTCAGGGATGGAGGCCGGGTGCAGAAGGGAGCTCGGGGTCAGGGATGGAGGCCGGGTGCAGAAGGGAGCTCGGGGTCAGGGATGGAGGCCGGGTGCAGAAGGGAGCTCGGGGTCAGGGATGGAGGCCGGGTGCAGAAGGGAGCTCGGGGTCAGGGATGGAGGCCGGGTGCAGAAGGGAGCTCGGGGTCAGGGATGGAGGCCGGGTGCAGAAGGGAGCTCGGGGTCAGGGATGGAGGCCGGGTGCAGAAGGGAGCTCGGGGTCAGGGATGGAGGCCGGGTGCAGAAGGGAGCTCGGGGTCAGGGATGGAGGCCGGGTGCAGAAGGGAGCTCGGGGTCAGGGATGGAGGCCGGGTGCAGAAGGGAGCTCGGGGTCAGGGATGGAGGCCGGGTGCAGAAGGGAGCTCGGGGTCAGGGATGGAGGCCGGGTGCAGAAGGGAGCTCGGGGTCAGGGATGGAGGCCGGGTGCAGAAGGGAGCTCGGGGTCAGGGATGGAGGCCGGGTGCAGAAGGGAGCTCGGGGTCAGGGATGGAGGCCGGGTGCAGAAGGGAGCTCGGGGTCAGGGATGGAGGCCGGGTGCAGAAGGGAGCTCGGGGTCAGGGATGGAGGCCGGGTGCAGAAGGGAGCTCGGGGTCAGGGATGGAGGCCGGGTGCAGAAGGGAGCTCGGGGTCAGGGATGGAGGCCGGGTGCAGAAGGGAGCTCGGGGTCAGGGATGGAGGCCGGGTGCAGAAGGGAGCTCGGGGTCAGGGATGGAGGCCGGGTGCAGAAGGGAGCTCGGGGTCAGGGATGGAGGCCGGGTGCAGAAGGGAGCTCGGGGTCAGGGATGGAGGCCGGGTGCAGAAGGGAGCTCGGGGTCAGGGATGGAGGCCGGGTGCAGAAGGGAGCTCGGGGTCAGGGATGGAGGCCGGGTGCAGAAGGGAGCTCGGGGTCAGGGATGGAGGCCGGGTGCAGAAGGGAGCTCGGGGTCAGGGATGGAGGCCGGGTGCAGAAGGGAGCTCGGGGTCAGGGATGGAGGCCGGGTGCAGAAGGGAGCTCGGGGTCAGGGATGGAGGCCGGGTGCAGAAGGGAGCTCGGGGTCAGGGATGGAGGCCGGGTGCAGAAGGGAGCTCGGGGTCAGGGATGGAGGCCGGGTGCAGAAGGGAGCTCGGGGTCAGGGATGGAGGCCGGGTGCAGAAGGGAGCTTGGGGTAAGATACTGGGGTGCAGGAGGGAGACCGGCGTCTGGGAGGGAGTTGGGATGAAGCAGGCGGCTGTGACCTAGGGCAGGGGACTGGAGTGCAGGGGTTTGGGATGTGACCTAGGGTCGGAGGGGACTGATCTGGGGCAGGAGATTGGGGTGCCCGGCCTGGGAGGGGGTGTGGGTGTAAGAGGGGGACAGAGGGCTTGGGTCTGTTGAGTGGGAGAGCAGAGAGTTGGGGCAGGAAAGGGCTGGGGTGCCAGACGCAGGCTGTGGCCAAGAGACTTACTTGTCAGCTGCCAACTAGCCTGCCTGCCTGGCCATGTGCTTCATGATAACTGAGCCCAGGAGAGGGAGCGTGAGTCTTCTGAGCTGCCTGTTATTCTAACACACAGCTCCCATTGGCTGGTTTCTGCCAGAAACCGGCCAATGGGAATGTGCTGTGGCCGGGAAGGTTCCTAAAACTTCCCCCCTCCCCTCCAGTTTCAAAACAGAAAGGGAGCCCTGTGGCCGTGTTTGGGGCTGTGGGGCAAGCAGGGGAGGCTGCCTGGGGTCTCTGTGGCCCGGATCTGTGGGCCGTATTTCGCCCAGGCCTGGCCCAATCCAATCCAACCTCCTCCCCAGGCCAGTGGGCCTCCGCTCAATGCCTGGACTCACCCACTGTTTGTAGATCAGCGATAAGGACCCTGGCTACCCTTCTGGGCACACAGCCAGCCCGCGGTGCTTGGGAACAGCTCCTTCTCCCCGAGCTAGACACCTGCTTCTCAGGGAGCATCGGGCTTCAGCGACGCCTCCCCAGCTATCCCCCCACGGCTTTGGGCTTGCGCTCCTACTGCGCATGGCCCCCCGCAGCGCCAGAACTGCATGCAGAGACAGAACTGGCCAGCATCTCTGGGTGGCAGCGCGGGCGCGTACGGGCCCAGCTGCAGGGAGGGGTCACGCAGACTCTGCCCCACAACAACGCCAAGAGCACCAGCCACAGAAACTCAAAGGGGCAGCAGGAGCAGTGGGCGGGCCCCAGAACCACACGGACCAGCAATGGTGCTTTAGAACTGCAGGCAACAACAACGAGACAGAACTGGCCAGCATCTCTGGGTGGCAGCGCGGGCGCGTACGGGCCCAGCTGCAGGGAGGGGTCACGCAGACTCTGCCCCACAACAACGCCAAGAGCACCAGCCACAGAAACTCAAAGGGGCAGCAGGAGCAGTGGGCGGGCCCCAGAACCACACGGACCAGCAATGGTGCTTTAGAACTGCAGGCAACAACAACAGGGGGGGGAGGGGGGTGAGAGGCGATGAAGCCCTGGCCTGCTCCACCCACCCCCCCCCAGCGCCTCCCTTGTACCAAAAGGGCTATTTCCATCTCCCCAGGGTCGCTGCCCCGGGACAGGAGCAGGAACACCACGCTTCGGGGCATGCTCTCGCTAGGCTGGGGGGGGAGCTTGTGCTGCCCCCGGCCGGGGAGAAGGGCTGACCCAAACACAGCTACTGCTCTCACCTCTGATCGCCCAGCACGGCCCGAGCCCCGAAGTACCTCTTCAGCTCCGTCTCTGCATTCAAGTTCCTGGGGAATTGAAGAGACGAGGGATTAATCGGGAGCTGTGCTCCGACGCCCCAAAGCAGGACCCGGGCGAGGAGGGCCCAAGAGTCAGACTCAACCAGATACGCCGCAGGCCCTGCAGCCACGTTTCAAACCCTAGGTTCAGTCGTGGAGTAATTCTGCCGCCCTCTCTAGTGCAGCCGGCATCACTAGGCTCAAGCAGCCATGGAGAACCTGTCAGAGAAGCAAAGGCCCTCTGTTTCCAGGCTGTGCTGTTCGGAAAGATCCAGAACTCAAGTGCTTTCTGGGGAAATCACTGGAGCTACAAAATCCTTGGGCCACCCTATGTCCTTCCGGGGATTCAAGAAGCCCAGAGCGCCCACAGGTAAGGGCTCGGCAGGTCTCAGACTGGGTGGTAGTGCCCCGTGGCCCAAAGACTAGCACCAGGAAAGAGGTCGGAGGCTGGGAGCACGCCCTAGGACTGCCAACAGCAACTAGACACCACCCTGACCCAGCTGGCCTGGAAGCACATGGGATCCAGTGATTGGATCCATCCACGGCACGCTGGGCCCTGAACAGTGCGGTACGGCCCAGCTGACACAGGACTCCCCTAGCAGCTGCGGCCAGTGCGTGTCTCAGCTCTGTGTTGAGCTCAGTGGGGGGGCCAGTCTGGTGGTGTCACCTGTGGACAAGCTCCTGGCTGGCAGTATTGGCTCTGGGAGGTTGGCACAGGGCCACGCAGACCCCTGCAGAGCGTGTGCCCTGCTGCGCTGGCAGCGAGGCTATGTCCACACCACACTTTCGATGGTAAAACTTGTGTTGCTCAGGGGTGTGTAAAAACCCCACGCCCCGAGCGGTGAGTTTTACCCACGAGAGGCGCTGGTGCGGAGAAGAGGACTTCCTGCCCACGCTGCCGGCTTTCCGGCGGCCAGGCCGTGGAGTCACAGGGTCGATACAGCCGGAGCGGTGGTGTCACGGGAAGATCATAACCTGGATGCAGCTGCCCAGTTTAATTTGGCTTTGGTGCTTCCCCCGGCTGGTCAGCAGCAGGATGTGGAGCCCCAAAAGCACTAGCAATAAGTCAGCCTTCCGGCCGGAGCACGGGCATCAGGCACAGCCCCTTTTGCGCAGGGTCCCAACTCCAAGCCAGCCGGGAGGCCGTTCCCGCGAGACACCCAAAGCTGCACGAGAGCAAAGTCCAAGAGCTCCCTTGGCAGGCCTGAGGGAGACACCTCACCTGTGCTCTACGTAGAGCAGCGGCCGACTGTCTGCCACGACACCGCTCTTGGTTTCGCACAGCAGCCCATTGGGCTCCTCCATCTTCTCCAGGAGGCTGTCGATGTCTTCCAGGTCATCGTCCTCCTGGAGGCGCCATGCAAAGACACCGCAACCGTTCAACACTCCGCCTCCCACCCCCCAGCTCGCCTGGGAGCACATCGCTCCTGCTGTTCTGCGCTCGGTCCAGACCCCGTTCCGGGCAGGCCGCTCCTCCCCGCCTGCCACTCAAGCCTGGCTGTCCCGGTGCTCTACCTCAGCCACACGCCACCGGGCTCAGTGCAGAGTAGGGGGAGATTCTCTGGCCTGGGCCAGGCTGTCCCCTCCCTGGAAATTTTATTTCCCTCTTCTGCATTTGTTTGATTTAGACTTTAAAGCAAAAGCTCTTGGGTGCTACACCTACAGGGGTCTGCTATCCCTAGAGCACCGCAGTGTCCAACCAGCTCTGAAACACGCTAGACACACAAGTGGCCAACCAGCCACACGTGGCTGGCGCGTTGGACGCCACGGCTCTAGCACCTGGAAAGCGACAGTGCTACATAAACCTGGAGTACTAACAAGTCAGCCCCCGTGCCTGCTTGCCACAAGGATCACAGCTGGCCCAGCGTGTCAATTACACACACAACGGAGCGGACGCACGTGGGACAGGGAGGGCTCAGCTCAGAACGAAGCCTGTACGCTTCCTTAGGGGGAGACAGTTCGGTCAGACTCGGAATCGGTCCCCCCCTGCCAGACACACATTCACCCCTGCATGGACGGGACACGGGGTCAAAAGGAGGAGCACACGGCACCAGCCCCTGCTCTTGGTGGCGCTTTTGCTATGATGGGCATGTGCTGTCCTGCAGGGCCCGGCAAGGCGAGAGCCCAGCGCATCCAGGGTGCTCTCCGGAGAGCCCTCTTGCTGGTGACTGAACACTGACAGCCAGAGGGGTGGTGTCTAGCCCTGCCTAGCAGGAAGGGTCACTGTTATGCAGGGCCCGGCAGGACATGGGGACGAATAAGGGGAAAGGCACACAAAGCAAGATCCCAGAGGATCCCTCCAACCACACAAGTCCTTAGGATGAAAGATGGTTTGAAGGTTCCACCCGTAACCCGCAGCTGAGCTCATCTAGTCCCAGTGGCTGCACTCAGATGACAGGGGATGGGGCCTACGAAATAGGAATTCCAGCCTCCCAACAGGTACGTGCACCGTACAGCACAGCACTTCCTGTGTGAAGATCTCAAAGCCCTTTACAAAGACGGGCAGCTGCTGTCAGGGCCGCGTCGCCCAAGGCTGGAGGAGGAGGAGGGGGTGGGACCAATCCCAGATGCAGACATACCGGAGCCTCGCCAGCCACAGTTCTCTTGTTCTTCCGTTTCTTCTTCTTCTTCCGGGGCTTGTTGGCGGACACAGGCTGGGGAGATAAATGGAGCAGGTGCAGGTGAGCACATCGGAGGGGGCAGCAGCGAAGGGGGAGGTGCCATTTCCAACAGGCCCCCCACCTGCCATGGGCTCAGCCTTGGGAAGAGCCATTTTTGTCAGACGTGAAACGGGGAAGACGACCAGGGAAGGGTGAGGCAAGAGGTCACAGTGTCACCTGCCCATCCCCAGACGTACCGGGTTAGAGGCAAACCTCAGCTCTCTCCCAGCAGTGTCTGGGAGGAATATTCAATACAGGACCAAGCAAGGCACATGTTAGTTTCTTCAGGATTGGAGAGAGTGGTTTTAACCTCCCTTTGCTTTCCCACATCTTGGCGCTAACAAGCATTCCTTTGTTTATTCTTTCCTTTGTACTGGGGTGTCTCACAACATCCCTCATCGCCCCGGAAACATACAGCTGCCTAAAACGTCACAGATGGTACTCGCCACACGGTGCTACCTGGTGTTATCCACCACGGCAGAGGGGCTCACTCCTCTCCCAACAGGCACAGACCCACAGACTCCTGCCGACTACTGGCTCCACACAGCTAGTGCAGCGGGAGAGGCAAAGCTTTGGCAGCGCTCCAACATCATCACCTCTGAGATATTATCACTTGGAACTAGCTTAGCTCACTTGCCCCTTCTCTTACGAGCTTCCCCTACAACACAAAACAGTGAGGCTGCTCTCCATCCTCCCCCCCTCACTGCGTAAATCCCCCTCACTTTTCTTAGACTCAAACCCAACTACAAAGCACCACTGGCAACCCCTCAAGCGCCAGTATTTAACCTGCATTCCCTCAAAACCTTCATGGAATTCTGCGCATGCACATCTTTCAGACAAGCGCTTCCGCGTACTTTGTTAAGACAGCAGACCCGTACTCGTAAGCAACCCGCAAACTAACTCATGTATCCAGTGGAGGGAAAAGGAAAACCATCTCTGCTTCACGTGAGCAGGGCTTTGTTCCCTCCTGTATGTTTTGCATGAATTTAGTACTCATGAAGACTCAGAACTGGTAAGACTGGCACAAGCCACCGAGCTCAGGTAACTGCTGCAATAACTTCCTCTTCATAGCAGGTCATCATATCCGGTATCTCCAGGTATTCCACTGCCCTCCTCCCCTCCCCCCAGCTCCAGCAGTGACCTCACCCCCAACTCAGCAATGCTCCACTGTGCCAGTCCTAGACCTCAGCCTGTCAACAGGCCCAGGTGTGCAGTGCTTTGCGGAGGGGACCAATGGCAGCTCAGTGAAAAGCAGTCGCTTTCGCTTGTCCTTAAGGCAGGCCTGTGAGCGCTGGTCCCCGGAGGTCACCGCCGGATGTACTAGCCCAGTACGGCACAGAGCGCCAGGTGCCAGCATGAAGACGGAGGGAGAACGCTCTTCATGACGATGACCACCCCCACCAACAAGGGTGGAGACTGCTGAACATTCCCAGGTACCTGCAGGTTTGTCACCGTCTGGTCCTGCTGTTGAGCATCCTCGCCACATCTCTGCCCATTGCTCTCTGGCGCTCCAGTTTCAGCCTCTTCATCGTTCCCTGGGCCATCCTGCTCTGTCAGTCTGGAACATGCTCTCTCCTCGTTGCACGCTAGAGCCTCCTCCGATTCCTCGTTGGTTATCTATGCAAACAGGGGTACAAGGCTCAGAGGCCTGGGGAGAACAGCGTGATGGATACTTGGAGTCTCTCCCCAGCACAAAGCTGCACCCCAGGAGCTGGGCTCTGTATTTTACTCACATCTGCAGAGAGAGAGAGAAAAACCCAGCCCCGTGACAGGACCAGAAGCTAAAGCCGACCATTCGGCAGGAGCCTACAAGGAACCTGACAGCAGTTTGGCTGCTGAGATGGGAGCCTGCCCTGCTTGCCCCTCCTCCCCTTGTTTCTTTGCACTCCCTGCCTGCCCGGGGCCATTTGCCGCCTGCACCATTTGTCTCTGTGGGGCTGGAGCCACGTCTTTGTGGCGCATTTGTACAGCGCCTGGCGCAACGGGCTCCCAGCCAGACCTGGGGCTCCCAGGGTGCAAAGGGGAGGCGGGGGGCCTGGGAGGGTTGGGAAGATGGTGCAGCAGGCAGCCTGGGGGCTGGCTGGGGCCCAGCG